ATTTTGTCTTTTAAAATTGTATTAAATTTATTGGGGTGACATTGGTTCATAAAATGATATAGGTTTCAAGTGTACAAGTCTATAATACATCATATATATATTTCATTGTATGTTCATCACCAAAGTCAATTCTCCTTCCATCACTATCTATCTGACTCCCATTAACTTCTTCTACCACCTCCTTCCCCACTTAACCTCTGGCACCCACTAAATTGTTGTCTGTGTCTATGAGTTTGTATTTGTTTGTTTGTCTTGTTTGTTTGTAGCTTTCAGTTTTATATCCCACATATGAGAGAAATCATATAGTTCTCGACTTTTTCTGTCTGACTTATTTCTCTTAGCATGATAATTTCAAGACCCACCTATGATGTTGCAAATGGCCATATTTCATCTTTTCTTATGGCCAAGTAATATTTCATTGTATATGTGTACCACATCTTCTTTATCCAATCATCTATCAAGGGACACTTCAGTTGTTTCCATGTCTTGGCCACCGTGAGTAATACTGCAATAGGGATGCATATATCTTTATGGATAAATGTTTTCAGATTTTTGGGGATAGATACCCAGGAGAGAGATTACTGTGTTGTATGATAATTCTATTCTTAATTTTTTGAGAACCCTCCATACTCTTTTCCATAGTGGCTGTACAAATTTACATTCCCACCAGCAGTGTATGAGGCATCCTATTTTCTCCACTACATCTCCAACACTTGTTATTACTTTTTTTTGTAATAGTCATTCTAACAGGTGTGAAGTGATATCTCATTGTGGTTTTGATTTCATTTCCCTAATAGCTTAAGTTGTGCATTTTTTCATATATATCTGTTGGCAAAAATCCTAAACAAAATATTAGCAAATTCAATGCAACAATACATTAATAAGATTATACATCATGATCAAGTGGGATTCATTCCAGGGGTGCAAAGATGGTTCAACATATGCAAATTAATCAATGCGATATACCACATAAACAGCATAAAGGACAAAAATCATATGACCATATCAATAGATGAATAAAAAGCATTTGACAAGTTACGACATCCAATTATGATTAAAACACTTCATAAAATGGGTATAGAAGGAAAGCATCTCAACATAATAAAAGCTATATTTGACAGACCCTCAGCTAATAGCATACTCAATTGTGAAAAACTGAAGCTTTTCCTCTAACATAAGGAACAAGACAAGAATGCCCCTTCTCACCACTGTTCTTCAACATAGTATTAGAAGTTCTAGCCAGAGCTATCAGGCAAGGGAAAGAAATAAAAGGCATCCAAATTGGGAATGAAGAAGTCAAATTGTCACTTTTTGAAGATGATATGATTTTTATACAGAAAACCCTAAAGACTTCATCAAAAAACTATTGCAAACAATAAACAAATACAGTAAAGTTCCAGGATACAAAATCAATGCACAAAAATCTATTGTGTTCCTATATACTAACAATGAAAACAACAATTCCTTTTGCAATTGCAACAAAAAGAATAAAATACCTACCTAGGAATAAACCTAACAAAGGATGTAAAGGACCTATACACTGAAAACTATAAGACATTATTAAAAGAAATTGAAGAAGACACAAAGAAATAGAAAGAATTTCCA